TTAATTCCAAATAAGTGTCCAAACTATGTTTTTTTTGCCAAATAAGTGCTTACGGTTTTTTGGCACATCCGAGTGTTAACGTTATAAACATTATCCCTTTAGTTGCACAAGTCATCAACACCGTTAGTTTTCCCCGTTAAGTGTCACATGTCAATACCTGGTAATTTTGAAATTTATTTTTATAAAGAAATATTAAAAATATTATTATGTTTATAAAAATAACCCTAACTTTTCTTATATTATAAAACAGTCCCAAAATATTAAATCCTAACCTTAATCCACCATCGATGCCTTCTTCAGCCACCACTGACATCACTAACGTAGTCCTTGACATCATCCTAATTATATTCCGCCGTAGTTTTCACCGATTAATCATCGAAATTGTGTGGGATTACGATTTTCTTCATAGGGTTTGTGAGATTTAAAACTTTAATTTGTGGTCGATTGATCATCAACCGAACACGATTTCATAGGGGTTATGTTGGCGGGGGGAGGGGAGGTCGGGTGGAGCTTCTTCGACGGTAAATGGCAGGGATCGAAGTAGGTCTAGGGATTGAAATGAAAGTTTTCAAAGTTTAGGGGTTATTTCAAGATTTAAGTTTTTCTAATTTAAAAATATTTAATTTTTTAAAATTTTATATAAAATTTTTAAAATTACCAAGTGTTGGCACGTGTCATTTAACAGGGAAAACTAACGGCGTTGACAACCTGGGAATCTAAAAGGATCACGTTTGTAACATTAGGCACTCGGATGACAAAAAAAATTGTAGGCACCAAATAATAAGAAAAGGATAGTTTGAACAATTATTTGGGAATTAAGCCATATTTTTTTGAACAAATTTCTAATTTTTGTTCTTCAAGACTTTTAATCATCTTTTTAGCATTATTGCCTTTGTTAGGACAAGTTTTTGCAATACGAGCTTTTTCATCACATATAAAACATTTACAATTTAATTTTTTATTCTTGGAATTTAAAAAAATCTAATAAATTTCCTTATTCGGTTATTATTTGGATACCTATATTATTTTCAAGGTTCCCATCTAACCAACTTGTATTTTTTATTTTTTATTTTTCTTTTTACTTCTTTTATTTGAATGTATTTGTTTACATCTAAATTCTCATTCATTTTCTAAAATTTGTACAGTGCTTATTACTTAATTTTTTACACTTGTTTAGTGACTTTAGTTTGTAGACAATAAATAATAATTCTTTCTCTAGCTAAATTAATTCTATTTTCTATAGAATCTATTCTTCTAATTTCCAACAGCTCATAATCTACTATGTTTTTCAAGATAAGATTCTTATTTGTTTATACAAAGCTCTTCCCATGGGGTGGTAATTTATGAAAATATTGGTTTTTCCAAAATTATTTTTTTTATTTTTTTATTTTTGATATCCATGAAGATTTTTTTAGAGAATTCTTATAAATATCTTATATCACATAATTTTACTTTTAATAAAATATAGCTAGTTTGACAATCTTGATCTTGCTTGTCTGTATTTCCACAAATTTATGTTTTTAGGATTTACGTTAATCCTTTTAAAACATCTTTAAGCGTTTGAATTTGGTCAATTAATCGTCCTTTTTGCTTCATCTCTATTATTGATTTTTCTCATCTACGAAAAATTGTAAAACATCACCTTGAAAGATTCCTACAAAATAATTTAAATTTTTTTCTTTTGTCCAATTATTGTTGTTTACTACAATTGTCATAGAATGTACCCATTCATCTATAATTTTTTATAGTCTGATATAGGAATACTATTTAAGTCTAAATATACTTCTCCTTATGCAATATTTCTTTTATTAAGATCTTTTTACAGTATAAGGGATTGCTTGTGAAGTTTCTGTTGTTTGTTCAATTTTAACTTCATTATTGTTGTTTACAACAATTGTCATGTGCCCAATCATCTATAGTTTTTTATAGTCTGATATAAGAATATTAGTTAAGTGTAAATATATTCCTCTTTGTGCAACATTTCTTTTATTAAAATTTTCTACAGTATAAGGGACTACTTGTGAAGTTTCTTCTAATAGGAGGAAAAGAACAACTTTATAATCTAATAATTCAAATTTAAAAAATTTAAAATTTTATATTAATAATTTATTAAATAAATAATTAATAATTTAATTATATTATAATTATAAATACTATATTAATCATAGAATAATTCTTGAATATATGTGTAATACCTACCTATGACACTTCCCTTCAACGAATAACTATTACATTCATAGTTTATTCCATTCTGGTAAGGCTTAATTCCCAAATAAGTGCCTAAATTATTCCTTTTTTGTCAAATAAATTTCTACGGGTTTTTTTATCCATTCGGGGCCTAATGTTATAAACGTTACCCTTTTAGGTACATAGGTCGTCAATGCCGTTAGTTTTTCCAGTTAAGTGTCACGTGTCAATACTGGTAATTTTGAAAAAAAAATTATAAAAAATATTTAAAATATTATTATTTTTATAAAAAACTCTAACTTTTATTGTATTATAAAAATAACCCAAAATACTAAATCCTAACTTTAATATGCCACCGACGCCTTCTCCGGCCACCACCACCATCGCCGACGTAGTCCTTGACATCATTCTAGTTATATGCCATCGTAGTTGTAGCCAATTAACCATCAAAATTGTCTAGGATCATGATTTTCTTCTTAGGGTTCGTGAGATTTAAAACGTTGATTTGTGATCGATTGATCGTCAATCGATCACGATTTCATAGGGGTTATAGTCGGCGGGGGGAGAGAAGGTTGAGTGGAGCTTCTTCGACTATAAAGGGTGGCAATCGACGTGGGTTTAGGGGTTGAAATGAAAGTTTTCAAAGTTTAGGGGTTGTTTCAAAATTTGTGTTTTTTCGTTTTTAAAAATATATAATTTTTATTGTTTAAAATTATATAGATTTTTTAAAATTACCGGTGTTGAAAAGTGTCACTTAACGGAGAAACTAACGGCGTTGACGACCTGGACACCTAAAAGGATAACGTTTGTAACGTTACACACTCGAATGGGCAAAAAAAACTGCTGGCAGTTATATGGCAAAAAAAGGATAGTTTAGGATCTTATTTGGGAATTAAGCCTTCCGGTAAACCAAACCATAAAATAATTCATTTTCATTTCCATACGATACGATACGAAGAAACCTTGCTCTCTCAATTCTCGTCTCTCCGTCTCGATTACCCAGAAAACGTACGGACCTGGGTTCCCTTTTATCCCTTCCGGTAAAGAAAACGGAACTTTCGGATTTATTGTTTTTTTAACTATCTGTTCTTTTAGTTTCGTATTTTGATTATTAGATTCTGCTTTCTCTTTTGTATTTTCTCAGACCAATTCATTGTTTTGGTTTGAGCTTGATTCAATATTTTCTCTATTTTTCTCTCTGCAGGCACTAGACAAAAGGCATCTGAATAATCAGCACAATGGTTTCCTTTGAAATGAACGATCTAAAGAGTAAAGCTCTTACATTGATCTTTTTTTTTATTAACTTTGATGTTTCTTCCATTCAATTACTGCTTCTATGAATCCGTGATGATTTTTGTGAGAGCTCTGGTGATTCGGTATTTGATATAGATTCAATAAATAGTCCCTTGAAATTCTAGTGAAATACATATAGCTAACTTGGCTTATTATATGCAATGTAGTGAATCTTTTGAGTTATCATGCATGTACATAATTATAACTGCTTCTCAGTTGGAAAATTCTTTCAATTATTCATTTTAGTTTACATTGAGACAATTTTTGAATGATTTGAGAGGGTAACTTATTTTAATGAACTTTGATATATGTTTTGATAAAGTTAAGTGGCTGCTTTTTGAGAAGCTTGCCAAATGCAATCGAATATTATTTATTTTCCAAATCAATTTTCCGGTAACTTGTGCAGAGTTATTCAGACTTGAGGGGAGTTTTATTAATTAGCAAACATTAACAGGCTTTAAGAATTAATGCTAGCAAAATATAAATATAATTTCTCTAGCAGGCAATTTCAGCTCAGATTCGATTTGCTTATATAGTTGAAGATTTTTAATTGATATGAACCCATCTTCATTGGCTAAGTTTTAATACTCTCATTCTTTCATCAAATGTGGTATTTCAATAGAGTACAGTTCCAGTTGTTCGCTTTAATTTTGTATTCACCTTATTGTTGGTGAAGTTTGTGCACCATGCTTGCTTGATGGTACATATAATGCTATCGTTTAAGGAATAAAGAGTGATTTTTTTTATTAAAGGAATACAAAGTGATAAACCCTCTAGCATTTGAGTTTTGTATAGGAAATGCTAATTAAAGACTGTTTAGGATCATGAAACTTTCCTAGGAGTATTTTAGAATGATTGTATAATATGTAAATAATATATGAGATGATTTTGGTGAATAAAACTTTTACTGATACCTCAGTTATATGAGTATGGAACTATGGACTCTTTAGTTACTCTGGTTCTCTGGATTCTAATCTTTTAGTTTATATTAAACCTGTTTGCTGAACAAAGTATACTTTAGTTACATGGATTCTTGAGATTGAAAATGCTTAGAACCAAGTAGAAGTGATTTGGTGCTCTTACATTTGATTCACACGGAGACTTGTGACTTAGTTTGTCATTAATATTTCGAGGAAAAAAAAGTTGAATGAACGTCATTTTTGTTCACTTTATTCTATTAAATTTCATTAAGTTGAATGAACATCATTTTTGTTCACTTTATTCTATTAAATTTCATTGTACTAATATTATGATGTCATGCAAAACAGAAATGGGGCTAGGATTAACGGGATTTGGCGTATGTTATAGTTCAAGAGAATTAGAGAAGAATGCGAGAATGAGGAAATAGAAAAGAAAGGATTTTAGAGAATAAGAAAACACTTCATTTATAATCTGAGGAATCAAATACCTCTCAGCCAAACTTATTTAGTTACAGGGCTAGAAAAGTAAATTGTAAAACATGCCAGCTGGCATTACAACTATAACAGTTATAACAAACTGATCTTATCTGCCTCTTTCAGGTTACTAGGCCACCAATCTTAGGTTGCTTCAACTCGACTTGGGTCTGAAACTCCACTAGATCCAATTTCTTCTGAGTCGGTTTAACAGCACGCTCCACTTCAGAGGGTAAATGCATCCTTTCCTCTTCTTCAGTTTCAATCCCTAATTCCCTTCTTTCCATTCCTTCTCTCGCCTCGATTCCCAATTCTCCATCCTCAATGCCTAACCCTAGGCTTCTTCTTTCCCCAATTCCTTCGCTTTCTTCACAATCATGGTTCTCATCCCGCTCATCTCCTCCAACTGTAACAATACCCGCCGTTGGAATCGATCCTTGTCCCCAAGGATCAAACTCTGGAAACTGTCCTCTGAGAACAGTATAGTCCTCCCACAAATCACTGGTTTCATCAAGGTTTCTCCATCGCACCAGCAACTGAGTTACAGGTTTGTTCTATCTATTTATTATTCTTCTGCCCATAACCTTATACGGTTCAACGTGAATCTGACCATCATCATCCATTGCAGGAGGTTCCGTTGAAGAAATGACCGAGTCACCCACATGTTTCTTCAGGAGACTGACATGAAAAACTGGATGCATTCTAGAAGAATCTGGTAAGTCCAATTTATACGCAACTTCACCAATTTTCTCAATAATTTTATAAGGACCGTAATACTTTGCTGCTAATTTTAAATTCTTTCGCAGGGCCAGTGAAGTTTGGCGATATGGTTGCAGCTTCAGGTAAACACTATCTCCCACTGCAAATACCCTCTCTGTCCTCTTTTTGTCTGATTGCTATTTCATTATGCTGCTTGCCTGCTCTAACTGCATCTTTACCAACTGTTTAATATTCTCTCTGCTATTCATTAAATCACTAACAGACTGCACTGTAGTTTTGTCTGCCAAACCATAGTAGGAGGTTTATAACCATACAAAGCCTGAAATGGTGTAAGCTTTAGGGCAGTGTGATAGGTAGTGTTATACCACCATTTTGCATGTGGCAACCATTTTGCCCACTGCTTTGGTTGAAAAAAACATAGGCCCCTTAAATATTGTTCTAAACACTGATTCACCCTTTCTGTTTGATCATCAGTCTCTGGATGGTAAGCAGTGCTAAATAATGTTTTAGTCCCTAACTGTTTCATTAGTTCTCTCCAGAAGAGACTAGTGAATGTTTGTCCCTTTCAGAAATGACCATTTTAGGCTGGCCATGAAGTTTATAAACAGTATCCAAATATAATTTGGCTATATCAGCAACAGAATAGGGATGTGACAATGCTAGGAAATGACTGTATTTTATAAACTTGTCAACTACCACCAAAATGCAGTTTTTCCTCAAAGATGTAGGTAAACCCTCTATAAAATCCATAGTAATTACCTCCCAAGTTTGATGAGGAATAGGGATTGGTTGTAGGAGTCCTGGCTTAGCAATATGCTCCACCTTTGTTTGTTGACACACTGTACAAGCCCTGATATGAGATGCTGCCATAGCTTTCAACCTAGGCCAGTAAAAATAAGCCTTAATCCTCTGATATGTGGCCTGTATACCAGAATGACCACCATGGGGTGAATCATGTAAGATTTGAATAATCTGTAACCTTAGAGTTCCATTAGCCCCAATATAAACTCTGTTGAAATCTAAGGATACTCTTAGAATATTTTCACCTAGAATCAACACTAGGATTAACTGTTAAAATAGAGATCCACTCAGCAGCCATTTTATCCTCTTTATAAGATTCTTCCACTTCTTGCACCCAACTAGGAATAATCAAAGTAGTACTCATAGCTAAGCATTGACCTTGATCTTCCCACTGTCTAGAAAGGGCATCAGCAACTACATTAAATTTTCCCTTCCTATACTGAATAGTGTAATCCAATCCCAACAGTTTAGTCAGGCCCTTCTTTGAATAGCAGTAGTTAATTTCTGCTCCAATAAATACTTGAGAGGTTCATGGTCTGTTTTGATAACAAAAGAGCTGCAATAATGTCTCCATTTAGAAGTTGTCAATAAAATAGCAAGGTACTCCCTTTCATATATAGAGAGAGCAACATGTCTAGGACTAAGGGCCTTGCTAAGGTGAGCAATAGGTCTTCCATCCTGAGATAATACAACCCCAATTCCCCCTAAACTTGCATCTGTCTCCAAATAAAAACATTTACCAAAGTCTGGTAATGCTAAAACAGGGGCCTCACCCATAGCATACTTTAATTTCTCAAAAGCTAGTAAAGCCTCCTCAGTCCACTTAAAACTGTCCTTCTTGAGCAGTTGTGTCAAGGGTTTACTAATTGTACCATAACCCTTTATAAATCGTCTGTAATAGTCTGTTAATCCCAAAATTCCACGCAAAGATTTTAGAGATTTTGGCAAAGGCCAATCCTTCATAGCTGCAACTTTAGAAGGGTCAGTAGATACTCCAGAAGCTGAGATAATATGGCCCAAGTATTCCACTTGAGTTTGTCCAAAGAAGCATTTTGATCTCTTGGCAAATAGTTGATTAGTTTTCAAGATTTTCAAAACTAATTCAAGATGAACAACATGATCTGCTATAGAGGTACTGTAAACTAGGATATCATCAAAAAAAACCAAGACAAATTTTCTAAGAACTGAACTAAATAATTCATTCATTAGAGCTTGGAATGTAGTAGGGTCATTAGTAAGCCCAAAGGGCATTACTTTAAATTCATAGTGGCCTTGATGAGTTTTGAATGTTGTCTTATAGATATCCTCAGTTTTAATTCTGATTTGCCAATAACCAGACCTCAAATCAATTTTGGAAAAATATACTGCTCCATGTAATTCATCCAATAAATCCTCCACCACAGGAATTGGGAATTTATCTTTCACTGTCATGCTGTTTAACTTCCTGTAGTCTACACAAAACCTCCAAGTACCATCCTTCTTTTTTATTAGAAGACATGGAGAAGCAAATGGACTTTTGCTTGACTGAATAATAGAGGATGATAGCATATTAGCAATCTGCCTTTCCACTTCAACTTTCTGATTATGTGGAATTCTATAAGGTCTTAAATTAATAGGAGCAGCTTCAGGTTTAAGAGTAATAGCATGATCATGATTCCTTGTAGGTGGCAGACCTGTAGGCTCAGTAAAATCAAAGTGATATTGGTCCAATAGAGATTGAATAGTTGTAGGAATAGTCATGGAACCATCAGACATAGTAAATAGGATTACATGTCCCAAAATAGATGAGTCAGAAACTGTCATCTTCAATAGGGTAGCTCCTGAAATCTGCTGCAGAAAATTAGATTGTTGTTGACCTTGTATAATAATCTGCTCCCCTTTATGCACAAAACTCAATGTCATGTTATTGAAGTCCATCAAAATTGGACTGAACAGTTTCATCCAATCCACACCCAATACCATATCACTGCCCCCCAACTGAAGTAGTCTAAAATCATGTATAAAAGAGTGCCCTTGCATCTTCCATTCCACCTCATTTCACCTTGTTGAACTGTAAAGTTGCTGTCCATTAGCTACTATAATGGCCAAAGGATAGGGAGTATTAACCTGTTTATCAACATCAGCCCACTGAGGTGTTAAAAAAATGTGGGTACTACCGTCAATCAATATACTAAGTGGTCTCCCTTGAATTGTTCCTTGTATCCTCAATGTATTATGACCAATACATCCATTAATAGCATTCATTGATATTTCTAGGCTCTCTTCTTCTTGCATAATTGTTTGCTCAGAATCTGCTGGTGAATTTTCTGAGGGTAAAACTCAATGTCATGTTATTGAAGTCCATCAAAATTGGACTGAACAGTTTCATCCAATCCACACCCAATACCATATCACTGCCCCCAACTGAAGTAGTCTAAAATCATGTATAAAAGAGTGCCCTTGCATCTTCCATTCCACCTCATTACACCTTGTTGAACTGTAAAGTTGCTGTCCATTAGCTACTGTAATGGCCAAAGGATAGGGAGTATTAACCTGTTTATCAGCATCAGCCCACTGAGGTGTTAAAAAAATGTGGGTACTACCACTGTCAATCAATATACTAAGTGGTCTCCCTTGAATTGTTCCTTGTATCCTCAATGTATTATGACTAATATATCCATTAATAGCATTCATTGATATTTCTAGGCTCTCTTCTTCTTGCATAATTGTTTGCTCAGAATCTGCTGGTGAATTTTCTGAGGGTAAAACAATGTCATCCTCCATCATTATGTTCAATTGCTTCATTTTGCATTGATGACCTGGAACAAATTTATCCCCATATTTAAAGCATAAATTGTTTTGTCTTCTGTAATCTATGAAATTCTGCTTTGGTGATGGATTAGCTGAATTGGTAGCTGATTTGGCTTTGGAGTAGATATAGGATTTGGATAGGGTGACTTCTGAAGGTTGATCTCAATCTTTTGATTTCAAACTCCATAGACAGCTCATATAACTTAGCTTGCCTACATGCCTCAGAAAGTGACTTAGGTTCCAAGACCGTGACTCTGTTTTTAATATCCTCCCTTAACCCACTAATAAACAGAGAAACAAAAAATTCTTCCCCTAATGTAGGGTTTTGAAGTAACATATGTGGTTGTAATTCCTCAAATCTGTCCTGATATTCTTCCACAGTCCCCTTTTGAACTAACTTTGTAAACTCCTCTACTATATCAGCAAAAAATCTATCACTGAACCTATGACATAGGTCTGCCTCAAACTCATGCCAAGTAACATGATGGTTTTGCATAATGTAACCATCAAACCAGATTTCAGCCTTACCTGCTAAATACATTGTAGCCACCTCAACTCTTTGCTCATCAACAATATTACAAAGAGAAAAATATTTCAGACATTTTTGTAGCCATCCTCTTGGATTAAATCCTTCAAAAATTGGCAGCTCAATTTTTGGTCTATGCCACATTACCCCTGACATGTTGGAAGACCCCACAGTACCTCTTCTATCCACCTTTACTGCCAATAACTGATTTCTAACAACACTGTTTTCCCCCATTAGATTGTCATTTTTACAGCTATCCAAATGAACATGCAAATCCCTTGGTTTAGACTTAAGAATTTCAGGCTCCTCAGGTTTATAAGTAAACCTAGTCTTATCATTAATCATTGTCACCTTAACAGGCTGTTTACTACTCATATTGGATAAGTTAGGAGTCTGTACCTGATCCCCAGCAGACTGGTTTTGGTCCTCCTTTCTACCAGTCAGAATCTTCAAGATTTCCTCCACATCCGTGATTCGTAGCCAATCTAGACTCCAGTGTAGAAATCCTCTCTTCCTGAGTCTCCCACCATTTAGGTGGATTAGACTCATCTTGTCCTTGTTTCACCAGTGCTGTCAATTCTTCCATCTGTTTCTGCAACCCAGCTAAATCTTCTGCCATGTTCTGATTTTTCTTGGGCATGCCACCAAACTTGCCAGAAACCGAGGCTCTCGATACCAAATTGTTATAGTTCAAGAGAATTAGAGAAGAATGCGAGAATGAGGAAATAGAAAAGAAAGGATTTTAGAGAATAAGAAAATACTTCATTCATAATCTGAGGAATCAAATGCCTCTCAGCCAATCCTATTTAGTTACAGGGCTAGAAAAGTAAATTGTAAAACATGCCAGCTGGCATTACATCTATAACAGTTATAACAAACTGATCTTATCTGCCTCTTTCAGGTTACTGGGCCACCAATCTTGGGCTGCTTAAACTCGACTTGGGTCTGAAACTCCACTAGATCCAATTTCTTATGAGCCGGTTCAACAGCACGCTCCACTTCAGAGGGTAAATGCATCCTTTCCTCTTCTTCAGTTTCAATCCCTAATTCCCTTCTTTCCATTCCTTCTCTCGCCTCGATTCCCAATTCTCCATCCTCAATCCCTAACCCTAGGCTTCTTCTTTTCCCAATTCCTTCGCTTTCTTCACAATCATCGTTCTCCTCCAACTGTAACAGCGTATTGTTCTCATTTTTTGGAATTATCTTCTTTTTTGACAAGGGGTTGCTTGCCATGGGAAATGTAAGCTAACTGACCTCTATTCCAAATCGTTTCGTTTTCCCCTTGAATCATGCTTGAATAACACCCTTTTTTAAAAAAAAAAAATATAAATCCTTTTCATATCAGGAGTGACCTTAATCATCGGTCTGAAATCCACCATGCAATTTTTCATGAAGCGCCAAAATTTTAAGGTTTATCTCTCTGTCTCTCCATGTGCGCACACACACACACATTATGCATTCATTGCTCATTTCTATATCATTTGTTGCTATTGAGTGCAGGGAACAATTTCATTTTTGGTTGGCTTCTTTTTTGTGATCATTGGATGGCCCATCCTTGGCATGATATTGGAGGCATATGGGTTTATTGTGCTCTTCAGGTCTAAATGAAAATTTCATTATCTTGAGTTGTCACAAACCCTTTGCTTCTCTTAACTTTTGAACCTCTCATTTACCATCCTTTTCTTTTTGCAGTGGCTTTTGGCGAACATTGGCAGTGTTTATACAGAGGATACCTTTTCTTGGTTGGATTTTCCAGCAATCATATATCCGATCCGTATGTTTAGTTTGAAAGTTAAATTTCCTTTATAAACTGTGTGCTGGAATTGCATGACCTTATTTAAGAAGCCTTTAATCGAGGTATGTAGGGAATTATTGCCTAGTGTCTCTTCGCCCCTAAGACACCAGTGAAAATCTATCTATTGTGGTTGTTGTCAAAATAACCCAGTGCCGTTGGTACTAATGCAGTTGCTCATTTTGCAGTTTCTACCTTTGCATTTCAAAAGTTCTTCATATCTACTAGGTTTCTCGTAATCATAAGATTTTCCACGCCTGTTGTTTGTATATACTTTTCTTTTGTTTTATTCATAGGAGTACATCTTTAATGTAAAATTATTATTCAACTTATTGTAGATTTTAGCACCTCCCTATGCTGAGTTTGCCCAGGCATCATCTTATGCACATGGTGCCTTCTTGTTTTTGATTACTTTGGTATCCTATGGGATGATCAAAAGGCACATTTAGATGGATAAAGGCAGTTTAGATTGTGGCTGAAACCCAAATTTACCCTTTTTGTTTATCAACTTTTGGCTCATGCGTGCATGTAAGAACTTTTCATGGAACAATGATAAAGAGTAAAACGTTGAAAAGAGAGTTGATATTTATAATCATTGCAACTTTTATGATTTAGAAGCCTGCAGCACTCTTAAAGGAACTTGCCAGTGCAGCATCTTATTTCAGTTATACAAATATAGATTAAGTATTTACGAAAGACTTTTCTGGCACCAAATGGATCTGGTGATATAGACTAACAAGTTCAAGCTTTTTACAAAATATGCATTTTAATTGGCAATGACCTGAATGAATGAGTAATCAGTCTGGATAAAAACAATGATCAGTCTTTATACAATCTGCATGAAAGTAATATTTCTTTACAAGCAGCTGCCTGCCCTCTTTTTCCTCATCGAGCAGAGCTAAAGTATGTTGTGTTCATTGGTGACGTAGTTGATGGATCATTATATCTTTCATGTGAAAATCTTGTGGGATGGCATGAATATAATTTTCTTTTGTATGTATCTGATACCTGTGCTATGTTCCAGTCATATGGCTTGAATCATAGTTCATAAGCGACTCCTCTTTTAATCTACTATTGAAGGTGGTGTTTCTTAGAGGAAATGATTGAACAAATATTTTCCCTCTGTTTTTATCTTGGTGCAGTGGTTAGACCGAAACCAGGGAAAGCGGGTACCTGTGTAAATCCCACATACAAGAGAAAGTGGAAGGAGGGGTAGCCCAGTAAGTCTGTAGAAACTTGGTTTGAAGACTGTTCTGCAATTTTAGTTTTTTATTATTGATTTCCTGTTTTGTTGATATGGTGGTGTAGGAAATCCATGTTATACGAGTGTTGGGAAAAATATTCTGATTGAAGAATTGGAGAAAAGAAAAGAAAAACAAAAGTAAATGCAGTAATTCTAAGCAACTCTGACTTGTCTAACCAGGTTTTGTTTGCTGACTTTAAAGAGGAGAGTTGAGTTGACCATTTAAGGTCTCATATATTTTCAATTTAGACGGGCTCGGATTCTTTCGATTTATTACTTTTACAAATACTATTTTCATAACTAAAGAGTCGGTTTTACAAATGCGAGGAAAAGTAAAGCGAGTAGATCTTTAAAGAATTTTTTTTGGATTAATTTGGTGTGAATATAAGATAGTATTTGTTAAAGATAATTTTTAATCATTTGACATTAAATGCTTATACCACTGACATTTCTGATACTTGAACTCAAAATTTTAAAGAATAATAATGTTTTTTTATCACTGAGATTACTCGGTTCATACCCTTAAAAGAAATATGAGTGAAGAGAATAGGGCATATGGCAGACTTTAATACTGTATTTACTTGTGATGTGTCCTTGCCCTCATCCCAACTTATTGTTGGGCCCCTAGAGTTCTCACGGCAACTTACAGATGCAAATGAAGTCTTCTTTTTGACTTGTCATTTGTAAATTTATTGATCGGTGTAAGTAGTTAAAAGAAATGTTCTCCCTAAAGATTCTTGTAATTTTCTTAGATTATTGAAAAATGACATATTATTATATTATTTAAGAAAACTAATTATTATTCTTTTATTTTTATTTTTTATGCGTATTGAATTCCATCTAATGTTTGATTTTGTTTTCAAATTTTGGCTTAATTAAAAAAATTGTTAAATAACATGTTTCATATTTTTATAATTTTAAAAATATATATATAATAAAAAACTTTAAATTATAATATAAAAAAATCTAAAATTTTCTCAAATATTAAAAAAAAAAACTCAACTTTAAAAAATCTAATTTTAATCTTTATGCCCACGTTAGCCATTGTTGTTTGTCATCGTTGTCGTAAATTGAACCTCCACCTAATGACAAGACCTCAATGACCTAGACCCAGAACTTGATGCCACCCACGCGACTCGACATTAGAAAACTTTGAAGAATGTCGACCCATGTGACGTGACGGAAAGCATGACGATGACCAACAAGGGAGATGACAAGGGCAGCGGCAATGTTGTTGGACGTAGTTGATAAGGGAGATGGTAATGTATGGGTTAGAGATTTTAGGGACCTTTAGATATTTAGTTTTTTTGTTGTTGTAATTTTAGAGAAATTAGGATTTTTTTTAAATATTTTAAATATTTTTTAAAATATTTTTAAAAAAATATATATAAATGCTACATGTGTCACTTAACGAACTCTTTTAACGATCGTTACAATCAATACACTTAAAATGATAACGTTTGTAACGTTAAACATGTTAATTAATCAAAAAAAAATTAAACACCAAAATAAAAAAGAGATTGTTGAACCTATATTTTGATATAACAAATAAGGACAAAATGTTTTTGGACTTAATTGAATTTATTTAAATGATTCAAAAATAATTTGAAGTCCACAAAACTTGAAAAATGTTTTCCAAGCATTTTTGACTTGATCTATACCTTAATGTATGTTTAGAAACTCAAAATAAGTCAAAATATTCAATTTTTGGAGTAATGTTTCAAAAACCCCTTTAAGGTTTCAAAACCTCTGAGGCAAAATGCTCAAACAATCAAAATTTCCTTATGGTTTCAAACCCCCTATGGTTTTTAAATCCCCCGTTTCAATGTTCATATTTTTGAAAGTGGGTTTCGAAACACTCTCTAGTGGTTTCGAAACCACTATGCAGAAATGCTAAAATTGAGGGGGTTAAAGGCTTCCAACGGCTCCAAAACATCCCAATGGTTAGAAACGGTCACAAGCTCGCTCCATCATATAAAAAATAACTCAATGACACTTGAAGAAGGTTACTACACCAATCCAAGTTTAGAGATCAAGAGAAAAGAGTTTACATTCTTATTTCATTCATTTTCTCTTATACTTAAGTGTATATAACTTAATTTCATATCCTTTGTTTTATTTTTGTGAGATTAAATCTTTGTAAACAACCACCTTGAGAGGTTTTCTTGTTTACACAAATCAAACCTTGTAAAAGGGGAGTGACTCTAGTTTAACCTTAGAAAAACTAGAGTGGTTATATCTTAGCCATTGAAAAGATAGAGTTGTAAGGTTACACTTATCCTTAAAGGTAAGAAACAATTAGTGAATTTATTGAAATCCTTAGTGGTGGAAAGCTAAGGTAGTGGATGTAGACTTAGGTTGAGAAAGTTGAACCACTATAAATCAATTTGTGCCGAAAAAAATATTTTTCGTTCAAGTTTCTACCAAACTCTATCAAGGCCAATTTACCCCCTCTTGGCAATTTTTGATTGATCATTTCAAGCCTAACAATTGGTATCCGAGTGGGTCACAATCGACGGTCTAACAATCTTGTGAAGATCCTTGAAGTGTTCTATCATTTTTTGACTCAACCGAGAAGATGATTTTTTCCTCTGGTGCTTACTACATCGAAGATTCTGAACTGGTCAACAAGCCATCTTATTTCAATAGAAAATTTTGCCTATTAGAATAATAAAATTATGCTCATGCAAACGATCTAGGAGCTTGGAACTCTATCATGAAGGGTCACTCCATTCCAACCAATAAGATGGAAGATTGGAGTGAAGAAGAAAAGAAGAAGTTCCAACAATGCCAACGTAATTCACTTTCTATTTTGTGCATTAGACCTAGATGAATATGGAAGAGTCTCCTTTTGTTCAAATGTAAAGGATATTTGGGACAAGCTCAAAGTCACTCATGAAGGAACCGATGAAGTGAGGGAAAAATCAATCTTCTCAACCATAGTAATGAAAATTTCAACATAAAACCGGATGAAGACATCAAAGCTATGACAAATAGATTTTTCGTGATTGTCAATAGTCTCAAAGGATATGGAGAAATCATCCCTAATGAGAAGCTTGTTAGAAATATGATCTATTCTCTTCTAAAGTCTTGGCAATATAAAAAGACGACAATCATTGAAGTGAAAAACCGAAAGTCTCTCACTCTTGATGAACTTATTGGCTTCCTTCTCACTCATGAGTTGATGGTAAATAATGAAGAACAAGAAGACGAGAAGAAAAAAAAGAAATAAAAAGGTGTCGCCTTGAAATCTTATACTCAAAGCAAAAACATCTTAAGTGAATAAGAGGATGAAGAAGAAGAGATGACTAAGCTATTCAAAAGATTCAAGTGATTCATGACATCAAAAGAGAAAAATGTGAAGCATGAATCGAGAAAAAAAGAAAGGTCCTCCAATGTGCTTTGAATGCCAAAGAACGGGACATGTCAAGTATGATTGTCCTCTCTTAAAGAAGAAGTGATCAAGTAAAAAGAAGGCATTTATGGTGTCTTGGAGTGATGAAGACAACTCCAATGATGAAGATGAAGTAGTTGATCTATGCCTCATGGCCATCGAAGAATATTAAATGGTAACTTCTAACTCTTGCAATTTAAATTATTATTCCTTTAAAGAGTTACAAGATGCCAATGATGAATTGTATTTGGAATTTGATACCATGAATTCCAAATATAAGAAATTGATTTCTAAATTTAAAGTTGAAAATGATTTTCTTTTGAAAATAAAATTAGATTTTGAAAAATGATTTTTTAGATTTCAAAAATCAAAATTGAAGAATTTCAAAAAGAAAATCTTGATTTAAAAGTTAATCTTGAGTGATTAACAAAAGAAAAAGAAATCATTTTAAAAAATTCAACTTGTTTAAAAATGACAATATGCTCACATAGTCATTTTCATGGTCATAGTCTAAATACTTGTCCTGTGAAAAATAGAAAATATTTTAAAATTAGACAAGTATTAGTTTCTAAGGGAACTAGATACATTAATACTAACCATCTAGGACCCAAAGAAATTTGGGTACAAAAATCCAAATGAATGTCTCTTATAGGTGTGTTGGAGCAAATGAAGTGAAATGCCAAGTTATTTGAATACTCTAGTCACACAAAAGAATGATAGGTAACCTCTAAACTTAATGTTCATTGACTTTGTATATTGGTTGCCTATTGAGTTTTATACATGAATGAGAATTGAGCTTAAATGATTACATATTGTTTATTGTTTCATGTATGTTGAAAATATGTTACGATGAATATGTTTTTAAAGTTATTTTTAAAGAAAAAGGGTTTTAGTTTATCATAATAATTTTTGGTCAAGTTAAACTTTAATATTTTAATATTTTTTCAAAATATCTTGATCTTAATGTGCTTTTGTTGAAAACTATTTTTAAAACAAGTGATATCCTTGATTTATTAAATAATTTTAACATTTGGAATCACTATAAGCTTATGAAGCCAAATTTGATAATGTTTTTAAAATCTTTTTTTAATTGGTGTCATTTTGGATGTTCATGCATATATTCTGACTTGTAAATGACATCTCTCTAACAATTGATATCAATGTTGAATGTATACCATTTTATAGTACTTTATGCATATGAGCTTTTGATTGTCCATTTCTTTTGCATTAAGTATGATAGACTTGGATTTATTAAATTTCATGTTCTACTAATATGTTTTCTCTCTTATCTTATTGAAATTCAATATTCTTTGGAGTGTCAAAGTTTTGAGCTAAAATGTTATATGAAATGCTTTTATTGAGGGGAGCCTTGTTTTCAAATAATTTTGTGCTTTTGTTTTGTTTTTAACTTATTCTTCATTGTTAATTTGAACCAATAAAGTTTGAATTATTTTTGGTATAACAAAAAGGGGGAGAAGTGTAAGGCTCGAAAAAAAATCAATTTCTCAAAGAAAAATGGGAGCTTAAAATATTTTCATATATTTTCTCTTTTTCAAATGATGTTTTGCTAAGGGGGAGTTTTTGCCAAAAACTATTTTTCAAAGGTTTTGTTGTATCAAAAAGGAGGAGATTGTTGAACCTAATTTTGATATAACAATTAAGGGCAAAATATTTGTGGACTTAATTGGATTTGTTCAAATGATTCAAAAATAATTCAAAGTCCACAAAACTTTAAAAATGTTTTCTAAGTACTTTCGACTTGATCTACACCTTAAAGTATGTTTAAAAACTCAAAATAAATCAAAATATTCAATTTTTAAAGTAAGGATTTGAAACCACCTTTAAGGTTTCAAACCTTTGAGTTAGAATGCTTAAACGATCAAATTTCCTTATGGTTTTG